ATCCAAAATAGTTCGCGAACAGAAAACTTACAGAAACTTGCAAGTTAGACGAACAGCTGATAGAAATTTTGTTTATATTCAAAAGTATAAAATTGAAAACTTAAGAAAACAAATTCCGAAGTCTTATCCTGACACAGTTCACTGACCAAACTTACTTCTTACAAGTTTAAATAGTTGCATTTTACTATTTTAACTTCCAAACCATCAAGTTCAATTTTGGGATTTGCGTAAATTAGAACCAGCTGTTTTTGATCTGCTGTGTTCTTGTTGGCAAATTTCTGTTGGAACAAATTTTTCCAGCAGAAACTAGGAGATTTCCCTCTAATGAAATGTCATTTAGCTCTCTCAATTTCCCTAATTTGCAAGTTTTTTACGTACGCGAACACAAAAAGCTGATAATTTTTATAACTTTCAATAATTAACAGGTACGCGAAAGCAACTAATTTGAACGGTATTTTTACTTTACGAATTTCATTGTAGAGTACAAAGACTCACAGTTATGTGTTGTACCAAAAATTTAAAATATACGGCACGCAGCTGTTTTCAACAGCGGATATTTTAAATCTGGTACTTATTGCCGGAATTCAAGCAATGGCAAAGCTTTATGTTGCATTTCCAGTGCCTTATCTTCTTTTAACTCTTTCGATGCGAAAAGCAGAGATGTTGCCGTTTTCATCCAATTCTGTGTTTTCTTGATAAATTTTTTGCAAAGAAATTTTATCAAGATTTTTATCAAGTAAAAGCTTCCTTCGCATTCTGTGCCAATATTTATAAAACAAAAAGCTCTACGATCTCCACATTAGTGGAACTGATTTCATTGTCACATATGAAAAATATGAATTTAAAAGCAAAAAATCTTTTGACTGCCGCAGCTGAGTAGGTGGAAATGTCGACTATAATTCCGTGTGTCGCAGGTTCAAATGCCGGCACATGGAGTATTTAATTGATAGAAACAAATTTATTAATGTACAAAATATTTGAAAATTATAGGATTGTACCAGCATGCTGGTGTCGTGAGTGGTGAAATTAGCTCAATTTTCTAAGTAAAAAGTATTTTGGCGTAAATGTTTTGCACTATATGAGTCAAAGCCGTGTTTGCGGAAGATTAACTTCACGATATTGCAGTTGTGAATTAAAAAAAAACAATATTTAACGAAATGCTAACAAAATTATGAAATTTCGGCTCTAATCAATTCGATCATTCCTCGACCTCATTTGTAAAGAAATAAACATGCTGGTAAGTTATATGCTTATGGCCAATTTCAAATGAATACTTAAATGGCACTTAAGTTTAATTGTGGAATGTTGTTTAAATGTAATTTAATTCTCGTCGGGTTTCAGATCAACTTCGATTAAATATGCTAAACAATTTGCAGCACTGCTGCTTGTTTCTTGAAATTGTTGTTGCATTTGCTTGTTTGTTTACATTTAATGCTGAACAGCTGATTGTTTTTTGGTGGGATTTGGTGGGATTGATGAAACAACCTACCAATCAAACTTGGTTCTTTGGTACAAACACAGGGTTGCATATTAGAGGTGTCAAACTATCAATAGTCACACCATCGATAGTTTTGATAGTTTTCAGAAAAACTATCAATATTCACGATAGTCTCGAAAAAAACAAAACTATCGATAGCACTATCGATAGCGCTAAATCAGTTAGGTTGCTTTGTTTTTACAGGATGATAGTGAAATAAATATTATCTTATAAAAGTTATAATAATCCAAAATTAAGTAACTGCTTAGCCAAAATACTACTCTTTTTAGTAAGCTCAAAAACGAACAACAGGATTTACGATTAACATATGTATGTATTTTGGCCTAAATGCGTGCATATTTGAATATGACGTCGGCATCACACTAAAAAACAAAACTTTTAATTCAAATTAAAAAATTCAGGTATTACCAACAATAGTTCGATAGTCTTACTAAACTATCGATATTTTTTATAGTATTGATAGTCTAAAAAAATTGAAACTATCGATACTATCGATAGTGCCATCGATAGTTTGACAACTCTATTGCATATCTCATATTTAAATAGCCGATATTGGCCCTATTCAGATGGCCTATTTAAGTAGAGATTGTTGATTAACTTCCACTATTCATTTTCAGATCATACATTTAATCTGCACTCAAATGGCCAATATTGGCTATTTAAATATGAGATATGCAACCCTGTGTTTGTACCGAACAACCAAGATTGGTTGGTAGGTTGTTTAATCAATCAATCAAAATGTAAACAAACAAGCGAATGCGACAACAACAAGCACAAGCAGGAACAAGCAGCAGGGCTGCCAATTGTTACCGCCGATGAGTACGGCCGAACAGTGAAATCTCGATCTGGCAACACTGAACCGGTTCTTATTCTCTGTATCATTTTCTTATCCGTTTGAACTATTTGCCTTTTTCAACATCTACATGTATCTAGTATTTTCTATTAAATTTATCTGAATAACTGCGAATGTAAATTTCTATATATATAGCTGCAAGCACTTTAAACTGTACAAACGTGTAGTGAGTTCAATACAAAAAGTTTTAAAGTATAGTACGCTACGCATAAAATTTGTGTTTTATTTCAGTATCCTTCACGTTTGCCGCGCTATAGAGTAAGCGCAACATTCTTTAAAACTTTTTTGGCAATATTCCCCAAAGCGTTTAATATTGATTTGAACTATAAATATAGAAATGCCTGCAAATTGCAACAAATGTGTCGAACCGGACAACGACAGAATGNATAGTACGCTACGCATAAAATTTGTGTTTTATTTCAGTATCCTTCACGTTTGCCGCGCTATAGAGTAAGCGCAACATTCTTTAAAACTTTTTTGGCAATATTCCCCAAAGCGTTTAATATTGATTTGAACTATAAATATAGAAATGCCTGCAAATTGCAACAAATGTGTCGAACCGGACAACGACAGAATGGTTCAATGCGATCATTGCAACGCCTGGTACCACTTCGACTGTGTTTCAGTCGATAGTAACGGGGCCGACGTCAGCTGGACTTGCGAAACGTGTCAGCAGACCTCATCGCCCATCAGCGTGGGACCGACAGCTTCGTCATCGCCAACTTTCGTGCAAGGTAACCGGCAAGTGCAATTTGCACCATCGTTCCCTACTACAATAGCAACTCAAAGTTCGTCGCACCACGTGATGATGTCCGGAGCAACACTATCGCGGACTATTACTTCACAAGCCTTTGCGTCAGCTATGCCGACGCATATTACATTGCCGCCCACCACCGCCATAAGCACATCTCAGACATCTTCGAATTTCGCACCGTCTACCACAGGCAATAAGGTTCTTCGACGACGACTGCGGCTACAGGGCACCTTTCAATGCCCCCGGCAACGGTATCGGCACCACTCTTAGGAGTCAATGTGGTAACGTCCCCGATCGCACCGAGCGCTCAAAGCGGAAACCTTTTAATAGGCACATCGCAAGCTCTAGGAAATTTCGGTATGCACCGCAATCTCCAGCTAGAACGGCTCGAAGAAGAAATGAAAATCCAGCAGCAATACTTGGATGAGAAATATAAAATTCTATCACAATACAATGATTTACCTTTAACTAGTTCCTCAATGGTCGCGCCAAGTCACGGGCCTACAACAGCACAGCTAGCCGCCAGGCAAGCTATTCCGAAACAACTTCCCATGTTCAATGGGGACCCAGAAGAATGGCCGCTATTCATTAGCACATTCCAAAACAGCACCGCAGTGGCGGGCTATACGAACGCTGAAAACCTTATAAGACGACAGTCTTGCCTGAGAGGCATAGCACAGGACATGGTTAAAAGCAAGTTGTTTTTACCGTCCATGGTACCCGAGATAATTAAAACACTTGAGATGTGCTTTGGTATACCTGAACACATAATCGAGCGTTTAATGATCAGAGAGCGCAGAATGTCACAGCTCAAGGACAAACTGGAAAGTCTAATTGAGTTTGCACTGTGCGTGAGAAATATTTGCACAACGATGGAAGGCTGCCAGATGCATATGCATTTGCACAATCCGCTGCTCGTAAAAGAGTTGGTTGACAAACTACCAAATAACCACAAATTGAGTTGGGCAGTTCATCCAAAAGATATCAACACACCTGTCGTCAAACAATTCAGCGACTGGCTCTATGGTCTGGCTGAAGCAGCGAGCACGGTCGTTGATCTAGCGCCAGGTAGAGGTGCCGCAGCAGTTAATACTCATCGAGTGGAAACGCTTCCACAAAATCTACGAAACCTTGAGCAATGCAGCGTTTTCGATAGTGAGGAACACAAAGTTGCTTGTGAGGATTTTAAAAACCTTACACTGCAACGTAAATGGGAAGTGGTCAAAAATAAAAACCTTTGTCGTCAGTGTTTGAACACACATAAGCGTAGGTGTTTCTTGAATAAAACTTGCGGTAGAGATGGTTGCCCATTGAAACACCATCCACTACTACACAATGCAAATGCAGCAAAGAATGTAGCACAACCGGGTTTTGTAAGTACAAGCGAGTCGTCGGACGCTCAGGTAAATACGCATACCAGCATTCACGAAGAACATCAGCCGTTGTTTAGAATAGTTCCAGTCCGCATTCACTCAAATAACAAAACAATTAATATATACGCATTCTTAGACGAAGGGTCCTCTGTTACGCTAATCGAGAAGACGGTGTTGGACGAACTACAGGTTAAGGGTGAACACGAACCCCTATGCTTGCGGTGGACCGGAAGCACCAAGCGCATTGAGGAAGATTCCGACAAAGCCACTATCAAAGTCTCAAGTATCACTAACGCACAGAAATATTCGTTAAGGGACGTACATACTGTCAATGGTCTTGCCCTGCCTACACAATCAATTGAAGCGTCCACCCTGTGCGAGAAGTACCCATATTTGACCGGGTTGTCGATTGCGTCATACAATAATATAAAACCGTCCTTGTCGATTGGAGTCGATAATTGGAAATTAGCAGTGCCACCAAAAATTAAACAGGGGTTATGATTCCAGCCTATAGCTTCAAAAATGCGTTTTGGTTGGACGCTGCAAGGATGTCAGGCGAGTCGTACGATACAGCACCGATTGAACATTCACACGTGTGATTGCCAAAAACAATATGACGAGCTACATGGAACTGTGAAAGAGTTTTTCGCTATGGAATGCCCCAAACCGACGCAGCTGCTATCACAGGACGACGAGAAAGCTGTCAGTATGTTGAACGACACTTGCTGAAAAGTTGACGGCCACTACGAGATCGGTCTTTTATGGCGCGACCCAAATAAGAGGTTACCGGAAAGTCATCACTTAACGACTTTCTTCTCAGCGGCCCAGATTTGCTAAACTCCCTAGTGAATATTCTATTGGCATTTAAAGTAGGCAAGGGTGGTGTATGCGGCGTTATCGCCGAAATGTTTCATCGTGTTAACATACGAGAAGGCGACATGCACGCGCAGAGCTTCTTGTGGTACGATGAAGGCGACCAAGCTCGGTATCCAAGCATTTACGTCATGCGCGCTATGACGTTTGGGCTAAATTGTGCGCCTTGTATCGCACTCTTTATACGCGACAAAAATGCAGACGACTTCAAAGACCAGTTCCCTCGGGCAGTTGAGCCAATTAAGAAAAGTCATTATGTGGACGACCTGATCGAAAGTGCAGATGACGAAAAATCTGCTCTGGAACTAGCAAACCAAATAAAACAAATCCACGCTGCTGCAGTCTTCCAAATACGTGGTTGGTCTTCAAACTTGACGTCCGTACTCGAAAAGCTAGAGGAAGACCCAATTACTACCGCGAAAACTAAAGAATGGGGCTCGGCGACGAAGGTCCTAAGTATGTCTTGGGACCCCCTTAATGACAGTTTTAAGTATATTTGCAGGTTCACGAAGCTTCGCCGAGACGTTGTCAATGAATCACTCATACCAACAAAAAGGGAGATTCTGCAAGTACTTATGTCAATCTTCGACCCACTTGGATTCGTAAGCTGCTATACCATAGGCCTAAAAATTATACTGCAAGAAGTATGGCGCGCCGGAATCGCTTGGGACGAGCCGTTGCGCGACGATCTAAACAACAAATGGTGTCAATGGAAAAACGTAATGCAGCTTATACGTGACGTCGATATATCCAGATGTTTTTCTCCATTATTGCGAGATGCACAAGACGTCCAACTCCATACTTTCGTGGACGCGGGGGAGGGCGGCTACGCAGCAGTCTGCTATCTGCGGGTTAAGAGAGATGACGATGTAACGGTTTCCCTTGTAGCCGCGAAAACGAAAGTTGCGCCATTGAAACCACTCTCTATCCCAAGGCTTGAGTTTCAAGCAGCCGTGATCGGCACAAGGCTGGCCGATATGGTAACGAGTGTGCAGCGAATCCCTATTAAGTCGAAGCATTGGTGGACGGATTCCATAACCGTACTGCGTTGGATTCGTATGGATCCAAAACGCTTCCACCAATTCGTTATGCACCGAGTGGGCGAAATCCTGGAAGCTTCGAATGTCAACCAGTGGCGTTGGGTTCCATCGAAAGCTAACCCCGCCGACGTAGCCACCAAATTTACAACGCGATCAAACTACCGGCTCTGGTTCACTGGCCCGGACTTCTTAGTTTTGGACCAAAAAGCATGGCCGCAGTGTGACGAAATGAGTGTTAATACGATTAAAGTTCCAGAGCTCAGAAATTTCGTTTTGCGTATCGACGGGCTGCAGTTGCAAAAAATTACAGTCAACGCCGAATACTTCTCCAACTGGAAACGTTTATACCGAGCCGTGGCCACATTTGCGTTATATGTGAACAGGCTGCAATCACTGATAAGAGGCGCTAGGTCTAAAAAGATCACGATAGACTTCGAGGATACGAAACGAGCCCAAAGTTTCCTGGTGAAATACGCACAGAGTACCGAATTTAGTGAAGAGATTAGTTACCTACAACGCGGTAAGACCATCGAGAAGTCCAGCAAACTATATTCCTTAAATATTTACTTGGACTCAGAAGGAATAATTAGGAGCAGAGGCCATGCGAGGCATCTAAATAACCACAGCGACGTTATAATTTTACCTAATTCTCACCATATAACCTTCCTTATAGTGCGGTGGATACATGAAAACCTTCATCATCTAATGCATGAGACGATTATCATTTGGGTGCGAAGTCAATATTTCATACCTCGACTCAGGGTGCTTTACAGACAGGTACGTCGTACGTGTCAAAAATGGCAGCTCTACCAGCGGCACGGCTCGCGGCCTTCGAGAGGCCTTTCACGTACGTAGGCGTCGATTACTTCGGCCCGCTAAACGTCGCCGTTGGGAGAAGACGAGAGAAGAGATGGGGCGTTTTATTTACGTGCTTGACCCTGCGAGCCGTACATATCGAGATTGCTCACAGCCTGGATACAAGCTCGTGTATGATGTCTATTAAAAACTTTATTGCGCGCCGCGGGTACCCAAAGGAGATATTTTCTAATAATGGTACTTATTTCAAAGCAACGGAAAAGATTATTTGCGAAAGCCTCAGAAGTGTGAAATTCGAGAGTCTTGTCTCCAGATTTGACGGAATAAGCTATGGGAGGCATCTGGGAGAGGCTTGTAAGGACGATAAAAACCGTATTGCGTGAAATACTTCCAGCGTCGACTTTTAACGACGAGAGCTTGCGCTGTGGATTATGTGAAGTCGAGTTCGTTATAAACGCTCGTCCACTGGCCTTCGTTTCACTGGAACACTGCGATGATGAAGCACTCACGCCAAATCATCTTTTGATCGGATAATCTGACGGTTATAAACCAATATGCGGAGATACTGGTAACCTACGACAACGTTGGTGCCAGGCGCAGCTGTTGGCAGACCGTTTTTGGCACAGGTGGGTCAAAGAATACGTGCCAATCATTTCGCGACGCAGCAAATGGTTCGCCAAGCAAAAACCAGTGTGCATCGGCGATGTAGTGGTGATTGTGGACCCTGATCTGCCGAGAAATTGCTGGCCGATAGTCAAAGTCGTGGATTCCGTCAGAGCTAAAGACGGTCAAGTCCGAAGCGTGGTGGTGCAAACTAAGTCCAGCATACTTCATCGACCTGTAGCGAAAATTGCGGTACTGGACGTCGGTAATGAGGAGAGTAAACTCGCGAATATACACTCGTTTGCGGGCGAGGGAATGTTACCGCCGATGAGTACAGCCGAACAGTGAAATCTCGATCTGGCAACACTGAACCGGTCCTTATTCTCTGTATCATTTTCTTATCCTTTTGAACTATTTGCCATTTCCAACATCTACATGCATCTAGTATTTTCTATTAAATTTATCTGAATAATTGCGAATGTAAATTTCTATATATTAGCTGCAAGCACTTTAAACTGTACAAACGTGTAGTGAGTTCAATACAAAAAGTTTTAAAGTGCGTAGCCACATGGGTACTATATAAAATTTGTGTTTTATTTCAGTATCCTTCACGTTTGCAACGAAAGTTAAATGGCATTTAAACAACAATCCACAATTAAACTTAAGTGCCAGTTAAATATTCATTTGAAATTGGTCCTTAGAGCCTGATGGTACAATCACTTGATGGAGCCAGCAGTGATCGGACTTCTACCACATTGTGGTAGATCTGCCACTTTTTTGAGCATCTACCACACAAGGTCTGAAATCTACCACATATTCGCGTTTTTGAGTAGTTTTATTTTTGCTCGGCATAATTTTCTTAATTTTAAGATCAAAAATTGTCCAACACTAAACACCAGTAACAGGCAGAATGGGAGGATAAAAGAAAAACTGTTAAATAGTAAATTTTCTCAGTATTAAATTTTTCGACAGGAAACGTGGTTTTATTGTGTTAAATTGCAAAATATATGATTTATAAAAAGAATTAATAGCGAAAATGTTAAAAAACGGCGATTTTTGTGAAAGTATTAACAAATTTTAGTGCATTTAAAGTTTCTAAAGCGTTGTTTACTTTTACTTCAGAATTGTCAAAATCGGCAAATCGCAAGTAGGGGTTTCTGGAACATGCCACATTTATCCACTACATCGTGATGTGATAAAAAGAAAAGCCCGCGGCACTCCGCACAGTTGCAGAAATCTTTCAAAATATGTTTGAAAAATATCTTCATATGGAAGGAATTGCTTTATACTGTCAAGGAAAAAATTGCCAAAACCCGACGCAATTTTTAGCAACTTCAATCTTGCACTTTATTATACTAAAATTAATTTTTTTAGATTGTAGTTAAAATGTTTGCAATTAAGGTGAAACCTTGCAGAGTTTTTTTAATTTTTGTACAAAGTTTGATTCAAAACCTGAGATCTACCACATTTTTTTAAACCTACCACATTTTTTCAGATTCTACCACACAAATTTTAAAGTCCGATCACTGGGAGCCAGCAAACTGGTGTCGTATATTTCCCCTTTTATACAAAAAGGTTTTTGGTTTGATAAAATATTATCTTTTTTTCCCGNGTTAAATATTCATTTGAAATTGGTCCTTAGAGCCTGATGGTACAATCACTTGATGGAGCCAGCAGTGATCGGACTTCTACCACATTGTGGTAGATCTGCCACTTTTTTGAGCATCTACCACACAAGGTCTGAAATCTACCACATATTCGCGTTTTTGAGTAGTTTTATTTTTGCTCGGCATAATTTTCTTAATTTTAAGATCAAAAATTGTCCAACACTAAACACCAGTAACAGGCAGAATGGGAGGATAAAAGAAAAACTGTTAAATAGTAAATTTTCTCAGTATTAAATTTTTCGACAGGAAACGTGGTTTTATTGTGTTAAATTGCAAAATATATGATTTATAAAAAGAATTAATAGCGAAAATGTTAAAAAACGGCGATTTTTGTGAAAGTATTAACAAATTTTAGTGCATTTAAAGTTTCTAAAGCGTTGTTTACTTTTACTTCAGAATTGTCAAAATCGGCAAATCGCAAGTAGGGGTTTCTGGAACATGCCACATTTATCCACTACATCGTGATGTGATAAAAAGAAAAGCCCGCGGCACTCCGCACAGTTGCAGAAATCTTTCAAAATATGTTTGAAAAATATCTTCATATGGAAGGAATTGCTTTATACTGTCAAGGAAAAAATTGCCAAAACCCGACGCAATTTTTAGCAACTTCAATCTTGCACTTTATTATACTAAAATTAATTTTTTTAGATTGTAGTTAAAATGTTTGCAATTAAGGTGAAACCTTGCAGAGTTTTTTTAATTTTTGTACAAAGTTTGATTCAAAACCTGAGATCTACCACATTTTTTTAAACCTACCACATTTTTTCAGATTCTACCACACAAATTTTAAAGTCCGATCACTGGGAGCCAGCAAACTGGTGTCGTATATTTCCCCTTTTATACAAAAAGGTTTTTGGTTTGATAAAATATTATCTTTTTTTCCCGAGTTCATTGTTTTTATATATCATTACTTATTGAAAATGTTCGCGTGTATACTTATATATGTATATGTAAGTAAAAAATTTTAGCTACCATTTTTAGCCACAACGACTTTTTTAGGTCTTTTTTAGCCCTTTTTTAAAGGAATTTGGCTACCAGTAAAAACTATTCGCGGCAACACTGCAGTCAACTACGGGAAATTCACGTGGAAGGGATGGATGACCGGAAAATTTGAAAACTTTGTAACATAGTCCCATTTTAAATAAAATATCCATGATCCAACTACACAAGATCTGACAAGATGAAGCAAAAGAAAAAAGTAATTTTCTGGCTGACGTTTGTAATTTCGGCGCCATGTTATTTTCTGTGAAAAGTAAACAAAGAATATGAAGACGAAGCATACAGAAAAAATGCAAGCAATTTCGTAGCACATGTTTGTGCTAACCAATTTATTGTTTTTGCATCCAATCACCGCGCACTTCATTTTATAGTCTGTTCCTTTGAACTTCGGACTAAAACCTGTGGAACTGTCAAACTACAATTTTACGCTCTCAAATGAGAGTAAAAGGAGAACAGATGCAGAAGTGCATAGGAACGCAACAAGCGCTATTTCCTGTAAAAAAGTCAGACGGTTTGTTTACATGTCATTGGTACTACACTGATTTGGCTGAAATATCACTAAATAATTATTAAAATCTATACATATTCAAATATTTCGTTGTTTACTTCCATTTTTTAACAAATATAAGGTTCTTTGCTTTCACCGCTTTCTGTTTTTTTTTTGCACATGTAAATCAGCTGATCGTTTGACACTTTTCATGAACTTACAGGAAAAAAAACTCCGGACTAAATCCTGTAACTTCTGACTAGGAACAGTCGCTCAATTACTCTCTCAAATGTGTTCCCACTTACAGGTTTTATGTCAATAGGAACGACTTCCTGTAAGTTCTGACTAAATCCTGTAAACCGGACTGCTATTGCAACAGACTATTAATTACATTTCCAGAAAAAATCACTGAAAACAATCACCGACAAAATACACATAAAGAAAGAAGTAAAACAGAAATAGCAAACTTCAAAATTACGAACGTCACATACTTTTTTCTCAATTGCTATTACAAATGGCTGCTTCTCAACCGGTCAGATCTGTTCTAATTGGTTCGTGTAAAATATCAGTGAATTCATTTCTAGGGATGCAAATTTAGCATCGATGTTTGAGACCTGACCGCAAAACTCCACAGGCGAACAGCGATGGCCTATCAACTGTCATTTTGACGAGCAATGTGATTGCAAGTTTTTGTGTGTGGGCACTTTGATGTCTTGAAATAAGCATTTGTTGCATGACGCCACCAGACAACATTCTCTCAATTTCGGTGTTTAAAAACATTTAAATATTTAAAAAACTAGCTAAATAATTTTCTAAAACGTAATCATAAATTATCCAATACGCAACAGATTTTTATTTTGATTTAATATCAAAATTTCTTCGATGTTACCGCCAGCACGCTTTCTTTCAAATGAAAATATGGCTGTCAAACTATCGAATTGCCTGCAA